AAGTTTGTAATATTGTGATTCACCTTGTCGCTAGTTGGCTTGTTTAATGACTTATAATGCTTTAACAAAGACTTTTTAAAAATCCATGTGGGGAAAAATGAATGGGAAAAAAATAAATAAATATAAAAAAACACTTCTGAAACCAACACAGCTTAAAAAGTGGGCAGGCACTAATGCACTCTTGATTTGTGGTTGCTAGGTGGTTTTCTACTAGCCTTAGTGTCCTTAGACATGGCCTGGGTCGTATGGCTTGTGGTATTCATTCATTTTTATATAGTACTAACATGAGTAAAAGTTTCATTCTAATAATAATAGTAATTCTTGCCTTAGCAAGCACCGCTAATTATGTTTTAATCCTCAGACAGTCCACTTTCAGATTTAAATTATTTTTCTTTTCCCTCTCTGAGTTGTAGACACGTGGTTGACAGAATACTATTTACAGCAGAACAGTGGCAAAGGACAGACAGATCTAGCACAGTCAAATCAGAAACAATCACAACAGATATTGGAGAAGGTACTAGAAAAGTGTTTGGGTGTGTGTGTGTGCTTGACAATCCGGTCTAGAAGTGTTTATGTGTTTGCACGGCTGCTTGTGAGATCATAGTTTTCCTTCCCTCTATTCTTGGAAGGCGGAAGTCATTTCATAGGGATTTCTCTTGCTCTCTTTGTCTGAGCCACCAAGAATGTTGCGTTCCTGTTTCTTGCAGGTGTTTAGTTCATTCAAAATATTAAAATAAAACTGACAATGTTTCAACAAATTACCATCAAATGCACCTATTTTTCAAACACTCGCAGTGCGTCTACCTGTAAACAAGCTTGAGCTGGATGAAGTGGTATCCATCTACATGGAGTCGGTATTGTTCCAAGCACATGTTAGTTAAACTACCATGTTTGCCATCATTTCCTGCTTCCAGCCTGTCAGGATACAAGCATTTCCTGTCCCGGGACAACCATGAAACCCTTCAATTTATGCCATATCCCACTCCAAATACCATCTCCTCTGGCAGTTAATATAATTCCCCTCCTCCATGGTTAGGAATAAATTGCTGGCTTTTATGGGAAAGCGCTCATTACACTCTAACAGCAGATATTTTATATGTGAGCTAATGAAACAAAAGCATATTTATTGGCATTTTAAGATTAAAGGTTTAAAAAAATCATCCCTCTTCAGACAGCAAAGCAGACATTAAATTATAGCCTAATACAATGACTTTTTTAAAAAGGGCTTTTAATAAGTTTTTTATGAGCCCTTTGACATTTTCAATCAAGTTTGATATTTCATTGTGGTGGCAGTAAATTTTTTGTGAAATTGCTGGTGAGTGAAAAAGCTAAAATTCAAGACTATTAATGAAAGGAATCATATTTTGACCTTTTTAGTGTTTATAAATTTGAAACGACTCCCATTTCACATCCTTTCAGTTCAGCCTTCATGTTAGTTTTTATGCACATTTGTGTGTATAGATAGATTTCTGTTTTAAGTCTCACCAAGGCTTTGATAAAAAATACAGTAATATTATGAATTATCATTACAGTGTAAAATAGGCCTAACTGTTTTATTATATTTTGTACCTTTTATTCCTTTAATGGCAAAGCTGACTTTTCAGCATCTGTGTGCTGCTTAATATTTTTACTGAAACCGAATACGGTGATACTTTTTCAGAATTCTTTGATGCATAGAAGGTTCTAAAGAACAGCATTTATTTGAAATATAATTTTTATAACAGCATAAATGTCTTTACTGTCACTTTTGATCAATTTAATGCCTCCTTGCCTTTTTTGCATTTCTTTTTTATGTCTCATGTGAATTTCATGGGGAAACTAATTATTCAGTACCATGGTATATCAAAGTACGATGATATTATAATCTGATACAGTTTGTGTAAGTGTAGAGAGTGGAATCATGGGAAATTCCTTGCGATCATGCCTTCTGCTATGTTTGCTTACATCCCAGAATGCAGTCTTAAGGGAAAATCCTAGATTGTTTACTACCGCACAATCTAGGGGTTCACGAGAACATGTTGTGCGCAACAAAACATTGTTTTCCTGTCCCCAGCCACCTTGAGAGTCCTGTAAATTCCTGATTATCTTCTGCTATCACTTCCTTAATTAAGTGACCTTTTGTTAGCTAGCATCAGTTACAGGGGTTTAGCCCTATTAAAGCAATAATCACATCAGTGGCATAATTTCCATTTAATCAACACTCTAATTTTAGTACCATTGTCTCGGCACACAAGGGCACAGGGACGTATTACATTAATAAACTTGGCATGGATGAATGTCTTCTCTGCCACCCAGACGATTCGACCCCTGTGCCAAGAGCAGAGGGGGTGAGCGGGCTGGTGAATAGAGGGGGCTGGATATGCACATTAAGCTACTGACACGGATCCCGAGAGACCGAGCTGAAAATTTGCAGCTTGCAGAATTCCTTTTTTTCTTGATTAGCCTAGGTGAGATTATTCAGCAGTCACTGACACATCTATTCCTGCAAATTAACAATGCAATTACTTGGATTTACTCTACACATTTGACACCAGATGTGCTGTTTATCAGGTTGCCACTGTTGAGATGAAACGTCCTGGTGTTTGAGTGTCTGTCAGGAGTAAGGCTTGCATCAGGAGGTGGATGATGCATAAATCTCACATTTGCCTTTGGTTTGAGGCGATGACAATGCGAATTTCAATTACCCGCATCAGCCATAATAGAGCGAAGCTGATGGAGAAAATCTCACTGGAAGACATTTACAAGGCTGTGAGAATGTGCGCTAGAAGTACCTTTTCTTTCACATAATTACTCTCTAATTAACCATTAGTTATTCAATTAGCCCTTTTAATCCTTGAGTCATGGGTACGAGTTTCTAAATGGTGGCTTAGTCATTGGCAGCCCTGTGACGACTAATTAATGGATGTGATGCACAAAATGGCCCACAGAGAGAAGTTTTTTTTCATTAATTTGTAATAAAAATTAAATGATCAAATGGCTAGTTCTGGCTCGAAAATCTGATTGAATGAGTCGTTGTAAAATGGCTGACATTCACACACCTGCCGGGCTGATGCTAGTATCCCAGCAGGACAGGTTTTTTTATGGGCGAGTAAGCTGTACCATAGAGGACCTTTGTGGGCCAACCTTATCGGAGGGTGGGGACAACAGGGCTTCTTTACTTGCAGGAGGGTATTGCAGAAATATAAGCACTTGTTATTTACTTGGACCTACAAGAGTTCAACTTCACATAAACTTCAAATGTACTGAATGCACAGAGTAATTACTAATGCAGCTGAGCAGCCTATAATTAGGCTAATGAACTGTGATACTTGGGAGTTTATGTGATTTATTTATTTACTCATTTATTTATTTTTATTTGCGTTTATGATTTGTATTGCTGTGAACAATGCTGAAATCACTGCTTGTTTCAAGTCAAATATAATATCCATCTTCAAACAAGATAATGATAGTCTTTCACCTTCACAGTGCTTTTGTTGGTGATTGTGTTTGGCTTTCCAATTTCAATGAACCATGGCCAAACAAAAAAAGTCATTTTGAGCCAGCATACACAGAGCCATTGTCACGATGTGGTGATTTCTGTGCCAAAAGCTGTCTAGTAATGAGTCTTGGCTATTTGAAAGCACTCCACCAAAGGTTATAAAAGGTTATGACAAGACACCTTTCTCTCACCTGTTGTGAAAGTAATATTTCTTCTTTCTGGTCACAGAAAATGTCAGTCTGAGGCATTCAGATTCTACCATTTATTACACTTATTACATTCTTAAATAAAAATGCTCCACTGAACAGTTCTTGCATAGATATCTTACAATACCAATTTAAAAAAGAATTATGAAACAGACCAGTAACAAAAATAAATTTCATCTTCTTCCTTAATAAAGAACATTACCATACTAACATTATATCATACAAATAATAATATTTTAAACACTTTGTACAGCAAAAGAACCAATAAAGAAAAACACACAAGGAAAGAACAGAATAGAAAAAAAACAGAGAGGAAGAGCGTGAAGATTACAGGAAGTGAGGGGGTGGAGTGTTAGTGATGTGGCGAGGGAAAGAGAGGACAGTGAGTGAATATGAGGGTCCCTGCTCTAGCGAGAAACTACATGCTTCAGCCTACATATGGCAAAATGTCGTCCTACTTCCATACAGATAAATCAAGATGGCACATAACTGTTCTATTTTTGCTTTCTTTCTTTTTTTCAGATTTGTACCTGCTCTGCCAACTGGCGGCTGTCTGCGAGATCAATGTTTGGATAAGAGAGAGCACCTGTGAAAGCATTGAGGTCTGTTGTTGGCCGGTTGCTCCCTGGTTAATGATGTCGAGGGACATTCACAGGTAAGAGATCGCTGACAGCTGGTAATGCATAACTGCAGGATGAAGCTGAAGTGATTGTGGTTCTGCAGGTGCAGGGTGGGAAAAATGGGGGTGGGAGGTGAGGAACGCAGAAAGCCAAAGGGAAAGACCTGGTGAAAACCTTACGTACTGACAGATCAAGTTTGGACAAACACGGATACAGACACACTTCAAGATGCAGTACATCTCAAGGCAAATGAGTCCTTTACAGTTCTCATCTCCGTTTGCAAGTGACTGGGAACCATATGGATGAGTATTTGAGTGTATATGCAGAATGGATGCACTGTTGTCCAAAAAAGACAATTTATGTTGTGCCATGAACCTACAAGCCTTATCTAGTAAGCTGAAAAATGAATTGTTCCCATAAATTGCTAAAACCCTGCTGTGAAGATTTCGGTGCAAAACAAATAATGCTGAGAGGCAAGCTGCGCATGTGTGTGTGTGAGTGCGTGTATCTGTCTGAAAGAGGCTGCCATGCAGTGTTTCGTGTTAATGCTGTTCATTAACTTGGTAATTATTGTTCTACTTTTTTTCTTCTTTAGTTTTTCTCAGGAAAAAGCCAAGAGCAAAGAAACCATTCTGTCTGTATTGTGATGTGTGTGAGTGTGAAGTTTTTTTTTTATGCATTTTTTGTTTTCTGCTTTTTTCCCCTTTTTTCTGCTTTTTTTTAGTTTTGTTTTTGAGCTTTCTTTTTGACTGTATGAAAAAAAAGCACAGAGAACATTGAAAAAAACCAGTGCAGACAATGGATACGAAACAGGCAAAGTTTGTCTTGGCTGATGGCACCAAGTTCTTTTGGATCCTGATCCCAGCAGGTGCTCCAATCTGAGAGTCAAACGTCCTGCCAGCTGTCCCTCCCCCATAACGTCTCCTCCATTGGCGCACCAGACTACTACGTTCTTACACAGGTGCCAGTATCAACACAAAGCAAAGGAACATTTTTCAGTGTCGAGAGCGACACACAAGGTCCATGACGACGTGCTCTGGTTCGTGTTCCCCGGATCAAATCAGAGCAAAGCAAAATGAAAAACAGAAGACTTCTGTCCTTTCATACCAAGCCAGCAATCCTCGTCTTATGCTTCAAACGTTTCGTTTCAGTGCCAGATAGCAGTCACTGAACCTTGTGCATACTGAGAAGGGCTCACAGTTCCCTCCCGCTTCCCGTATGTGCACATTTATGCTTGTGTTCACAAAGCAAGTTTTTACTTTTCAGAAGTTTAAGACATTTCAGCTCAGAAGGAAAACAAACCATCTTTTTTAACACTGTCTTTAAAAAAAACAAAGGCAAGAAAGTGTCGCTGCGCATCATTTAGGTCGCCCGTGAGGCGTGAAGAGCAGAGAAGAGTTCGCTCCTGAGCGAAGAGTACGAGAAGTCAACACACATCCTGAGCGTCGCCGTATTTTTTGTTTTTCATATTTTTTTTCCCACGCAGAGCCTACTTTTGGGGCCGGGCGTTGCATTTGGCCGCTTGTTCCATTGGTCACTCCTCAGAACGTATTGGCAATGTTGTTTTCCGTGTTTGGTTGTTTGCTGTATACAACATAGCTGCAGGTTGGTTATTATGAGGTGTCCTTGGAAAAAGAAAAAGGAAGTTCCAGAATGTACAATGAACATGATTCTCTAGTAGAACTGTTACGTTACGTGATGATTGACATGTGTGTTTCGGTTTTACACATGTAGCGTATAGTTTCCATTCCATGCTATTGGTTGATTTACTGTACACAAAGAGAATGATGGAAAAAAATGGTGGTGTTTGGCAGTGTCTGACCTCCAAGCTAGCACTCGGTAAGGCATGGCTAATCGCTGATGAAAAGGCTTTTAGACATTTAGAATCCAACAACGTTTGCCCACTCTGCCTCGCATGTTCCTCCTGGTGATGTTTGCGGCCAGACCCCTCATGTGCACTCAAAGTCTGTTGTAAATGTTCCTGTCTGGGCGGTGCACACCTGTTCTCCTCTTCGTTCTCACTCGTTTTCTCTCACTCTCTCTCTCCCATCTCCCTCGGCATTAGATATGTCGCTTCATGTGCAAAGCCAAATGATCAGACCTGGAAAAACATCTGTATGGAGAGAAGGAGAGAGAGAGTTAGATTGGATTCATTTAAGGAAACAGTTATCATCGCACTAAAGAGGGACGCAGTCTGAGTTTCTTGGAAGATATGTGGCTGCTTTGCAGATGGAACAGAGAAAACAACATTTGGTGTTTGGGGAAGTTAGATTGGATTCATTTAAGGAAACAGTTATCATCGCACTAAAGAGGGACGCAGTCTGAGTTTCTTGGAAGACGTGTGGCTGCTTTGCAGATGGAACAGAGAAAACAACATTTGGCGTTTGGGGAAAAAAAAAGAATTTTTAAGCATAGCCAGCTTTTTGCTCTAAAACTGGTGACAGATCGTTTCGAATGCATATCTGGCCAATGCAGTTAGCAGGGAAGTCTGTGCCGAGCCTTGTGAAAGAAAAAATATTTTGGGAGTGCGACCACAAATCACGTCGAGCCTGTTGGAATTAGGAAATTGTTTCGAGGCTGGAGGTGAAATGGTATTGTTTAAATTGTGCGGCCACATTAGTTATGTAGCACTTGAGTCATAGCGGTTGGTTTCTCGTCATGAGCTTTTTTATGTCATCATCAATTCAGCTCACATGTAGCCGCTGCCAGTAGTAGCAATACATAAACGGTGTTGCGATGCCATATCTATGTTACATTTATACGACTATGAAGATTACAATATTAAAATTTTGAAAGTGAATCTTAACTAGAATGAATAAAAGAGTTTAGAGAATTGGAAAGGAGTGGAGAATTATAATTTTAATTTGCCTCTGGCTGTATCCATTATTAATTAGTCAAGAGCCACTGTGTTAAGTCATCTCTTGCTTTTTGGATGGGAAGCAGCCAAGATGGAAATTGGGGTGGAAGGAGGATGTTCATCTAAAGGTAGACACAGTTGGTTTTCAAATGAGTCATCTTGATGATTTTCTGTATTATATATATCAGTCAGATGGTTTCTGTTTTTTTCCCAGTTGCTTTGCAGAATTCTGTTCTGAAAGTTGAACAAATTTGCAATCATTTTCTCAGAATTTCCCCTCTTTCTCTGTATGGCCTTTCAAGGAAAATCCTTCGATTTTATTTGCAATGATCAGTCATACTTGTATTCCCAATGAGGGCTTAAGGTCTATGGAGTGCAAAAGCCAAGTTGTAGAAGTAACAATCCCATTCATTTTCTCCATAGAGGAATTGGTTTTTAACAATTCCATAGAAAACTTTGGAGACAGATCTACCATAAGATCTGAGGTAAAAAAAGAAAAGAGAAAAAAAACTATTTAATTGACATTGTCTTAGTGAAGAAGCGTAGTTCACTACCCATGAATCTTGAAAAGACTCCAGTGAAGAATTGTGATCGGCAATGATGTCAGTCTCCCTGCTAATTTAATTTATGAATATTTTGTGATTTTAATTTTTTTACAATTTTTTATTTTTACAAATCACAAATTTCTACAAATCAGTATTTTTATATTGTACCATTATTTTGGCATTCACAGTTCTTCCCATATAAAAACCATTATATCTATTTTTGAGGATTAAAAAAAAAAAATCCTAATGTTAAAAATGAATGGAGAAAAATATATCCAGAACCAAAGCCACTGAAAAAGTGAGTGGTGTTGACGTAATTTTCACATCAATTAAGCCCATACCCCCAACCATTACCTGCACCGCAGTAGCAGCTATGACAATTTTTCTTTATTTCTTATATTGTTTAATTTTAGCACAGCTGGACTGCAGTATTGACCAATCAGCATCTAGCAGTGGATTTGTTTTATGTGAATGGCAGTTGTACATTTTCCTTTCGTTCAGGTATGTGAATTTTTGGCAGAGCTTAATGACATTGTATATTAAAATAAGTTAAATTTTCGTTTGTGATTTGCATCGATCTTGGTGTGACTAGGCTTTTAGGGGTGTGTGTGTGTGTGTGTATAGAGGCAGGGCAGAGCGACTGGACAGATGGTCCTGTGACTCACTGTAGTGGCAGCTACACCAGCTGGCACACCCTTAGATCTCATAACCACTCCCCCCACCTCTCACTCAACCCCTCTCAACACCCGATAGGGGGCTGTGCTTGATTAGGCAGGATTAATGATGCCCAATACACTGGTGTGTGTGACTGTGAGACAGTATGACTGTGTATGTGTTGGCTGACTGTATTTACTGTTAGACTGCCCATGATTGTTGCTCCTCATAACTCATTGTGATGGTAACACAAACACACGTGCAGTCAGTAATTACACCTAGAAGAGAGAAACACCAATTCATGCTATTCCAAACCTGGATGTCGTTCTTTTTATCTTTAAGAATGTTTAAACCTCTTTTAATACACATATTTTCTTTATGAATGTTACCTATTTATAAAGTTACCTTTTTTGAGTATTGTTTTGAGTATCACTAGACTTCTACCACATTTCACTGAATAATTACATTGAGAACTTTTTTTTTCTCACTCAAACGTGCATGGCTTCAGAAGGCTTAGCATACTGATTTAGTTGAGATATATGGAGTCATTTTTGGAGCCAGTGTTATTTTAGTATTATTTATATACTATTATAATATTTATTACCATTTTCAATTAGGCTCTTATTTTTATATTTTCACATTTAGCTTTCATTCATTTTCTTTTTAATTTTAGTTATTTTAGTACATCAACTTAGTTGTACAGGTTTGGAACACTGTAAGGGTGAGTAAATGATGACAGAACATGTAATTTTGGGTGAAATGTCTATGCTTTAAAGAGCATAGGTAAACTAAAAGCTTGTGGGTTCAGCCCTGAAAAGGTTAATCCTTGAACACTATCACTGTTATGGCCTTGAGCAAGACTTTTGGTTGCCCCGGAGGAACCATCTATATAACTTAATATGGTTGCAAATGTCTGGCACTATACCATAAATTGTAGAAGAAATGCTGCATTGTGTGCTATTCTATTCTATAAGTGTTGCCACGTGTCTGCAACTGCTTTTGTTTAATAAGACATGGACACTTGAATCCAATTGAATAAAATCTGTATCTAGCTATTCAGCTCAATTGTAATGATACCATCATCTATTTCACATGTTTTGGCAGTTCAGGTGGCAAACTGATCAGGAAGTTCAGCTCTGTTACAGAACTCACCCTGAACTGACTAGAGGCAGTGCCAAAGTAGAGGACAGTTGCAAAATTGAAGATCATAATGGGCAATTTTGCACATTTTCAACAGAGTGCACTCTGAATCACCATTAGCCCCTGGCTTATTTCATCCAGATTCAACTGGGCATCCTTCCTGCCATCAGACTGCACAGTACTGCCTCCTCCTGTCATTCCTACACATTACTCTTGATTGTTGTCCCAGTGAAGAGCAATAATGCTGCACAAGGTCACTTTCACATTCCAGCTGCATTGCTGTTCACACTTGTAATACTGTTTCCACTCTATATACACGCATAATGCAATGTACAACTAAAAATGGATGTGCCCCCCAAAGAGATTCTTCAAGGTTTAGTATTAAAAGCGAGTAACAGGAGGGGGGTCTATGTGTGGGATTCTGCAGTGGAGCTAAATTGCTTAGGCTAGACTCCAAATTCAGAAGATGCCCTGACATGAGGGAGAAAGAATTGCCAATGTAGATTTGCCGACTTCTCCTCCTTTTGTCAAGCAATAGCTGCCAAACACTGAGTAATGAGTGTAGGGACACAGATATCCCCATGCCTTCCCCCAGAGAGTTCACGTGCTCTGCTGCGCCCGAGGGAAAACGGCGCTGTTCAGGTGTCAGCAGCAGTCTGCAGAACAGAGGCCTTCCCAGCCGCAACTTGTCCGCTGGGATCGGTGGAGCTTCATTGTGATGGAGCAGCAGAGAAATGTTCAATGGACAACTTTCTAAAGGCTGCAGCGAGGTTGGTTTGATGCCGACGGCGAGACAGGGAGCCGTGTCTAATTGTGCTTCCACCTGGAGCTGGCTCAGTGGGCACGCGGCCTCCACTGTGTAATTGCTGCCCGCATGCCAGGCCCGAGTGACAGCTTCTTAATACTGTCACCTGACAGGCTATCACTCTTTCTCCCCATGCTAATGCAAATCTCTCTTTTTCTCTGCTGTTCCTGTGTCTCTTCACCTCTTTATCACCAACACACACACAAGCACATGTTCACCACGCTGCCTCTGCATTGTGTGTGTGCCCTAAATTATAGCCCTTAAGATTTAAAAGGGGATCCCACAGTCATGGAAAACCTAGAAATATGAAATATAAGGGAAATTTAAACTTGTGATTTCCTGACTTTTTAGGTGTGTGTTTTAGTAATATTTTTCTTGACATTTCCATGCCTTGCTCTATGTCTTATGTTTAATGTAACTGTATTTTACTGTATGTTCAGCAATGAAATTTTTTTTAGCAAGACATTTGCTCTTTGGGAGTGCAAATATTATGATTTCAGAATTTTTTTTGTAATTAAATCTTTACCTAGTAATCATGAAAAATTCATCACAAAATCGTGAACATTCAGTGGTCAAAATGTGTGGAAACATTGTTTAAATAATTCATGAGAAGTGTGCATCCCAATTTGCATACTTCTATGCACTCAAAGTAAGTACTCTGTTGGTGAAAGTTAAAAGTACATACTGAAAGTATTTCGAAAGACTTACGGTTTCATTTTTTAAATTTTTTTAGACAAAATACATTTAATTTATCATTTATCCAAAATAACATCAAAAATATTGTTGGCTTGTTGTATTGACAAGAATTTGTATATCAATGCATTTCTAATAGTATGAAAATTGTGGTTAGTTATTCTACATAACATCCTACAAAAACCGCTTACTGTGTGCTGATGTTTCAGTATTCAGTCAAAAAAACAAAAATCAAATATGCTGTGTCTTTCCTCTAGAGCCCTACGTGCATCCATTTCATCCTGTGCCTCTCCCCAGCTCTTTTATATTACTGTTGTATAACTCTCTTACCTTGGAATGCACACCCATGCCTTTAACTTCTCTTTCTCCCTGCACTCAAGCCAGTGTGGGCATACGCTGTACTAATGGGAGGATGGAGGAAAGTGGAACAGAATGTGAGAATGAGATATTCGCAGTAATTTGGTAATGGGTATCACAGGACCAGACTGTGAATGAGTTATTCAGCAGGGAACTGGGCCTGCACTAACTTCCAATGAGCCCGATGCAGTACTGCTATGTGCGTGCCATAAGAGAGAATTCAAGGAAACAAGAGCAAAGGGAGGGGCCAGTGGGTTCTTTTTAAGGGAGATATTTTAGTCTTGTGGTCTCATAACTTGAGGAATTTGTTTATGGGAGCTTGAGGACTATGGACTAGTGTGCTTAAATGTGTGTGTGGGGGTGTTAAAGAACTAAAAGGGGTTAAATATGTGCATACATTTATTGTGAGCTAGCTTTGCAGCTTTTGCACTGTGTCTCTTACCTGTCGCAGTGGTTGCACTTGAAAGGTTTGGCACCAGTGTGTTTGCGGTAGTGCCTCGTCAGTTCATCGCTTCGTGCGAAACGCCATTCACAACCTTCCCAGGAGCATTTGTAAGGCTTCTCACCTGCATGCACAAACACACATCATTTAATCCCTGCTTCACCATTCACACACACCTGTACACAGATGGTGCACCTCTGGAGCGAGGCAGCCACTGTGAGCACCGTCAGCAGTTCCATTATCTACATCATTCATTACTGTTTCTCTCAATCACACATCCAAGCCAGCCAATCAGATCGCTTACTTTATCTCCCAGTCGACCAATCGCATCTCTGTAGCCCAAACCTCCTGCTTTCTCAGTCGTCGAAATGTGAAAAATGCTGCCTTCTCAGGCAATATATGGAGGTGATCGTTTTCAGACACAGAAATTGATTCGATCAAGGGCCATTTTCCATCTTTTCTTAAATTGAAGAGGGGCTGCCTAAATGTGCTCAGTCACCATAACAGAACGAATTCATAACCCAAAGTCAAGTATCCAAAATGAAGCCATTTGTGCTAAATGTGTTCCACCCTCCCAGTGAGCACTGAAATTCAAATGAAGTTAAACAGATGGGAAAGGAGGTACCAATTGTTCCACATGCCGTACTTTTATGCCTCAGATTTAAAATATGGCCTTGAGTGATGGAGGAAGGGGGGTTTCAGCACCCGAAGAGAGGGTCCCGGCACAGTTGCAGTGTTCCTGGGGAACAGAACAGGCTTCAGCCCGGGGCCTGGGTGGGAATGGGGAGGGTGTCGATGGCACTGATTCAGATCTGGAGGTGGTAATGATAATTGGGGTCTTAATGATGCTTAATGGGAAATGATGCCATATTCACAGCACAAGAGCTGCCAGCTTCTCCAGCAAACAATGTGTGCACCAAACTGCCTAACTAGAGTAAAGCTCCATTAATGTTGAAGTTGCCCAATTGGAAATAGTTTTTCACTAAATTGATGCTGACCATGCTTCTAAACTAGGATCACCACCAAGTTGGTAATTTATTTCTTAAATACAAATACATGATATTAGGCATGTAGGCTACTTTTAATCGTTTTGTTAGGTTTAGGTTAAGTTTTTCAAGACATGATGTTGGCTTGACAAAGCCTTGTCTGAAAGTTTCAAATATTTGTTAGATTTATTACAGTCAGTCAGACAAAGTAGGTAGGTTGCTAGGGCATTATGAGTGGTTGTTCGGGCATTACTAGGAGGTTGCTTAGATTTTCTAAGTGGTTTCTATGGCATTTCTATGGTGTTTGTAGTTGATTGCTATGGTGGCCTTGGATTGGCAGTCCGGACAAGTCTTAAAAAAATCTTACTCAACCAATTTACTAGAAAGACCATACTAACCAGTCTAAACTAGTCTTGACCAGCATAGAAATTCATCCTGTTCTATGCTAGTCTTTCGGCAAGGATGTGCCTGTACCTCCATGACTGACTCTGGATACTGGCGAAGAAAATCATAGAGAGGAATGGAAATGATTACAGGCTGTTATTTTCCTTTTTCCTTTTCCTTTTTTTGTAAGGAAAATATGGTCCAATAAGATGTGGAGAAAGTGGAAGTTATTCGCTTTCGCAATATTTCATATCCCAAAAATGTATGCAGTTGATATGAGCATACATATTGCTGTAATGAAATCAAAGTCTGTTCATCTATTTATCCCGTCTCGGTTTTTAGCTTTATGATGCAAGATGAGGTAAAGGATGACATAACGGTGGGTTTTCAGCTACATCGCTCGGTTGGTCCTGGAATTCTCTTATGATGCAAGACAAAGTAAAGAATGATATGGCAGCGGTGACGAGGAAAACGACTCCAAGTAAGATGTCTGACCAATTCCACTTTCCATCTCCCATAGACTTATTTCTTCACTTTCGATGACAGAGAGAAGATATTTTTTAAATATAATACCGTGTACTTGGCCTTTTTTCGACTAGTTCACCTCTGGGATCACTGCAAACAAGCAGCGGGCCGCCTTTGACATCTCATCTTTCTCTCCCAGGCAAGACGCGAACAGACAAATAGCAGGTCAAAGTGCCTTGAGGTTTATTTTATTATGTTTGCCTGTCCTTGAGCTCCTTCAATTTATAAAATCAGTCTGAGAAAATATCGCCACGTCTGCTCTGGTGTCTGTGACTGCTACAAGTGTGCAGGAAGAGCATCTCTGTGTCATTTGGAGAGTGGTGGGGCCGCAGGTGTGAGACGGCAAACGTTTCGCACTACATTCACAATAATTGGCCAAAGACCCCCGCATGCTCACTCCCTCCTTATGCCGTAGCCCCCTTCCTCCCCCTCTTGCTGTCTGACAGCAGTGAGGCAGGCTTGGACCTGCAACCACGGCAACCATAACACAGGCCAATTATAACTTGGAGAGTCATGAATGCATGATGGAGTCGCCTAGCAACCAGCCGAGAGAGGTAGAGAGAGTTAAAAGGAGAGAAGAGAGAGAGCAAGAGCCATCCAGTCGGTATGCAACCTATGGACACGCCGCAATACCAACCAATTATTGCTTGCTTTCATATGCATGATGTTGTTGCCTGGCAACCCCAACAGTACCCAAAGAGGGTAGGGGAAAGGTGGGATTGATCTGGCATATTGGAACTTCAATTGGTATCTAGCAAAGTCCCTTTAAGACAAGTCATGTCACTCGGCGGCCATCTTTGAAACGCCTCTCGGGCATGCAAGTGCAACTCCTATCTCTTTGAATGGGGAAACATCAAATTCTACAAAACTGTTCACTAAGCTTGCAATTAAATTTCATATTTGAAATCACCAAAGAAATCTGATATCAACTGTGTCATAAATGTTGTTTATATTGCTCAAATAGTGTTATAAAAAGCTTATTATTCAGGCTAGATCAGCCAGTGTGCATGCGCAGTCCTGAGCGCATGTCTCAAAGCGCTGACTGTTTCTATAGCAACCAGGACTTCTAAGGCAGCTGCAGTAACGCGCTGACTTTACCGATTAGCTCCTTCATACAGAAGGCGGGGCTTCCTGCGATTGAGCGGCCATATTGAACATTGCATTTTTCCCCATTCAAAACTATACGAGTTACACATCTTGGGTATTCAATAGTCTTTGATTTAACATTACGTGCTTTAGTATGCTTTGATTTCTATCCAAGTCAACAGAGAAAGCTTGGTTGTTTTTTTTGTTTGTTTTTTTAGCATTCTTTGGCATGAGTGTGGTGGATTTTTTTTTTTAAAGACAGCATCAAGATAAGATTTGTTATAAAATATTTCATGTCAAGATTTCAGCATTCTGCTCCATCCATTTCTCAGATCTAGATGTTTTTGAACACAATACATTTTAATGTGAAATTTTAAGTGTGTTTAATCAATTGGACATGCATATGTTCTTAACCATTTGGGAGCATCCAGTCAAATCCAGTCATGAGCTTTGTTGGATTTGTTATTTCACCAGCTGATAAATGGATGCTTAACAACATCTGTCTTTCAGCCAACAAGGTAAGCTGACATTACATAATGTAATTGATATTCATGAGCAAAGCTTTCACCTAAGTAGGATTTGTTAATTGCAGTGTATAGATATTGCCAATAAAATAAAATGTGGTTAATGTGTGCTGATAGCAGATATACATTTTGATATTTGACCATTCATGAACTACTGATTTGTTAAGTGTCCTATAGATGTTCAGATGTTAAAGATTTCAGTCAGTTTGTTTATTACTACCTCTCAAGTTAGCTTAAAATATTCAGTTTGGATTTTTTTTGGATTTTTTCTTATTTCTACAGAATTTAGAAACATTCTAATTCACTTTTCAGGGTCACGAGTGCTTCTAAAAATATTAGTGTAGGGTCCTGTAGTATGTATGCGTCCCTGTTTTAGTAAAACAGGGACCCCCCCCCCAAAAAAAAACCAAATGGATGCTTAACAACATCTGTCTTTCAGCCAACAAGGTAAGCTGACATTACATAATGTAATTGATATTCATGAGCAAAGCTTTCACCTAAGTAGGATTTGTTAATTGCAGTGTATAGATATTGCCAATAAAATAAAATGTGGTTAATGTGTGCTGATAGCAGATATACATTTTGATATTTGACCATTCATGAACTACTGATTTGTTAAGTGTCCTATAGATGTTCAGATGTTAAAGATTTCAGTCAGTTTGTTTATTACTACCTCTCAAGTTAGCTTAAAATATTCAGTTTGGATTTTTTTTTTATTATTTATGTCTTATTTCTACAGAATTTAGAAACATTCTAATTCACTTTTCAGGGTCACGAGTGCTTCTAAAAATATTAGTGTAGGGTCCTGTAGTATGTATGCGTCCCTGTTTTAGTAAAACAGGGACCCCCCCCCCCAAAAAAAAACCCAGGATTAAACCAATGAAAATAATAAATGTGTCTTGTAATAAACACATAATGTGATGAGTTAGCAAGCCAAAATGTCTCTTCAGGGGTTTATTTTCCCCTTTTTCCTGCTACTGCTTATTTCCCCCCATCTTCAAAAGCGAGAGCGCCGTCTATACACTAGAATCAGCCCAAAAGCGATTAGCATCACCAGCACTCACAGGAACCTGCCGAGTCAACAGCTGGCCACAGGGGCCAGATACGCTGCATTGAGGCCACTGTCACAGTAGGTTTCGGGGCCACGGCAGAGTGCAACATGCTCTCAGGTTCAGCGAGAGGGCAGAAATGACGGCACCGGAGCGTGCAAGCCCGAATTAGCTGGGAAACGAGATTAAGCTCAATCGGTCTTTCAATCATCTTGCAATTACTGACTGCACTGGCAGGTTTTGAATGGTGTGGCTGGGTTCATTTTAGTCTGAGATTTAAGGTGCAGGAGAGAGAAAATCAGCTACCTTGCTGTAGGGTTGTGCTGCAAAAATCGAGTTAGCTTCACAAGATCTCTTGTGACCCTTCTGTAGTATCAGAGGCTTGGCAAAGAATATTTTCCAAACTCTGAAATGTCATCTCATTACATGCAGAGTTAGACTTGGTATACCAGAAACCTTTCTCCAGGAAAGTAAAAAATGCTACATGTGATGCTAAATGCTAAAAAAACAAATGTAACTGGTGCAGTTAATCACCTGTATGTGTCCTCTGGTGTGCCTTTAGGTGGGAGCTTTTTGTGTAAACCTTTCTACATCCATTAAACTGGCAACGATGGACCCTCTTTTTGTTCTCCGGAATGTCCCCTCCGCCTACCGTTCCCAGTGCTCCCTCTCCGTCGCTCTGTGTGCCGCGGTTTGGTGGCGAGGGTAGCGAATGTGTCGCCACCAGCTTTGCCGCCCCAAGACCGACTTTCTTGGCCACCAATTTTAGCGTGAGCGTGCCATCGGCTGTGGCGGTAAGAGTCTGCGTAGGCTTGACAAGATGGCGTCCCAATTCCGGAGAGGAAGGTGGCGTGAGGGACGTGACTGCGTTTAGCTGGGCGGGATTAACCCCTCCGCTGGCTTCTTTCAGCCCTGCTTCGGTATTCTTGGTGTTGGCTGGGGCATGAAGGTTTTTGGGTAGGGATACAAGCAGAGGTGCTGGGCTGGGCTCATCGGATAAACTGGGCAGCAGGGGGTCCATCAGGTCCTCGTCGCTGTCTCCCTTCATGAAAGCTGGCGTAAGGAGGCAGTCGAGCTCCTCATCGAAGAGCTCCGAAAGCCTTTTGGGCTCCGTCTGTAGGTACCTCTCCAGTTCCAGACATGTCTGCAGGAGAAACAGAAATGCATAAAGATGAGACAGTAAGCCTCAGAATACTCTTTAAGTCCAGTGAAGTTTATAGAGGGAATGCTAACCGTCTGAAAAAACACTGCTGGTTACAGCTGAACATGCTAAAATGAAACATGTGGCAGGTCAACACATTTCCAGTTGGGATTTGTCCAGTTGGTCACACCATGGAAAGGTGTAAACGACTAAATCTGCTACATAGAGACTTTTGGAAAGAAACATTTTGGAGTGCAGCTGGGAGGCAAGATTTTCTGGAAGAGAACCTGAACATCCGTGGAATTATTTCACTTTGCTGTGGTTGAGGGAACAGTATTTATCCATGTAGCATAGCGCATGTCTTACGGTGCTTGAGCAAGAAATTATTGTCTTATTACTTAAGATACCTTTCCCCTCACTCTGGTTTTTCCTCTGATGAATACTTTGGCAGACAGAGGGAGGACGGAAGAGAAAGACAGCACTATCATGGCTCACTGACTGCTCACTCAGCAGTTTCTTTTTCAGTGGTTTAACATTATTGTTCCCCAGTCACAGTGGCCAGTTTGGATATTAGAGAGTTCTATTCACTGTGTTGCAGTAAAAGCACTTTGACAGTCAAACAGCAGTAGAGTAAACCTTCCAACTCTTTACTTCATGTCAGCTGTAAATTACAGTCGCTGTACATGTCCTATCTTAACTTATTCTGTCATCTCCTTTACCTCAGACCTACATAAATCGTCCAAAAAGAAGATTTTGCCTAGCATCTGTTGTCTGCTGACAAGCCGCACTTTTTACTGAATTTTACTGAACTGAAATATGCATACACATTGGGGTTTTGTGGTCTGGGGGCCTCTAGGGGGTCTGAAAAAAAAATGCATTCAAGAATGCACTTTTCATGTGCACTCGATGAAATGTTTAACAATTTTAGCAAAATTGCTTATTTTACAAGAGATTAATTGTAGATATAGATTTATAGATAACAGTAAGAACAACAAATCTATCTTTGTAAAGTAAGCTTTAATTCAATGACAATATAAAAGCCAATTATTTTATTTTGATAGCTTTACAATATTACACTTAATATTTTTAATAAAGTGTAAATACAATTTTTTATACATGAATATATATATAGGTTAATTTTATATTTTAGGGAATCCCTCTCAATAGGATCGTATTTGGGGTCCTTGGTATCAAAAAAATTGAAATTACAGATTGCTGTTTAAAACCTAATACAGAAGTGTTAGAAACAGTATCAGATGAATTTTAATGCAATGCCATCACAGCTACTGCTGCAGTGAAATATTGACCATTCAATTAACCTGAAGCCAAATGGTTCCTGTGCACTTTCTCTGACCTCATTGGTGACACCAAAAAAAAAAACGCACTAATACTATAGCTACAATTTGACTCATGTTATGCAATACAGACAGAGCCTTCAACAAAGACTAAAATAACTGAAACGCAGTCCACTGCAGCAGCTACAATTTACCACTGCAAGCTCTCCCTGTGAGCTCTGCGTTCATTTATGATTCTGAGCACTACCTGGAAAGTGCATGAATTATCTATACTCTGAAGCTTTTTTAGCCATGTTTTAGCAAGCAGGAATTTTAGCAACTGCGAGAGATCATGCACCTCTGGAATTATTCCATTCTTGTGCATTTTGTAGGCCTTATTACTTTAATAGAGGCTCTGAGGACATACCCAACCTGCATTGATAAGCACAGAGCAGCATACGGATAAATTCTCTATGTCATGCAACTTAAAGCAACATGCCATTGAAAATTGAAAGAACTTGGCATAAGCACACTATATTTTCGCATGCATCTGTGCAACCACATAAAAAAGAAAAAAAAGAAAAGAAAATGTAGATGAGGTGAATCAACTCTTCTGTACTAGCTGCTAGTGTAGAAAGCCCCTTCATACCCTGCTTATATTGTGCGCACTGAGCTCCATACATTATACATGCAGTGCCAGGGGGTTCACAGGCAGCGCTAAGAGGCAATGTCAGACAAAGAGCGGGCAGAGAGAGGCGAGGGGGAGAATCGCAAAACTGTTATTAGCAATTGTGGATGCAGTCCAAGTTAGACACAAAGGGGGAATTATCGCCAATCTTAGAGTCAGTTCCTCTCGCTGTCTCCGCTCCCTGCTTGGATAATAGTCGGCACATTATCTAAACTAATGTGTATATATCTTCACCCGCATCTAACAAAACAGTTTTTTTTTCCACACCCTCTCTATTTTTGTGGTTGAAATTATGATTAATTTTCTCTCATACAAATAGGTTTTAACTAAGCATTTTGGCTTTCATGAGATGTCGTTTGAAGTTCTACCTCTCCGATCTCTTCTGCACTCCTCTCTCTCTCTCTCACTACACAGCATGCACTGATGACTAATTAGCCACTCAAACGACCCAGCAAAGAGAGGCTCTTTATTCAGTTAATTTGCTGATGGGAAGCCTAAGTGTGTATGTGTGCGTCTGTGTGCTTGTATGTGTGTAAGAAGTAGTGACTAAGAACAACACTTGAGTTAAAAGTGCCGTATTTATATATTTATTTCACACATTTTTAGGACTGTAGGAAGCTCTGCTGCAAAAATGGTTTTTAGGGTTTCATCCCTACTGAAAAATACATTTTAAACCAGCAAGCATGTTCTTAGCTGATTTCCCAGCCTGCACTATTTGGGGTTCAATTGGTTTAGCAGGTCGCCATGCTGATCCTCTAGGATGACCAACTGAAAAGTGGCTAGGTTAAGATGTTTTTTTTTTTAGCAAGAACAGGAGAACCACAGTAAGTTCCAACCATGTACTGATGTTTTAAAGAACCCAGGAGAGCTTCACTTTTCCTCTATTTCCACCAATATGCTGATCTGAATGACCTATAACGTAACATCAATACATTTTTTTTTCTTAAACCCTAGTCAGCACAAGAACCATATATAGTTAAAAGGAACCCAAGAAAATGGTCCTTTGATGTATGTTAAAGATTTTATACCATGCACAAAAATGAACAGGCCAGTTGTTCCTTCCTGCAAAACCTGTACTCAACTCTGGCAATGTTTTGTTCAGTAGAGCAAAGGCATTGTCAATGATCTGGTGATGAAATATGCCATCATTCCATACCCTGCAGTGTTCATAACAATTTCCCAGGGTGCTGTGATTCCACCATGGCCATTAGCTCTTTTACGACCATAACATTCCCTTGTAAGACTGAATATGCATCCTTCATGTATTGAAGGACTTTTGGCCTGTTTGCACACCATGTTCATTTATCTATATTATTTCAAGAATTTTTTTAGGGATCCGCTATGGCTCCTGCACGATTACCTCCGTAATGACACAACAATTACCCAGGACCCCTTGGAGACAACTTGTGACAAGTGACACGAACTCACCATCAACCTCAAGAAGTGTTTCGAAACTCTACAGCCCATAAGGACCTCCCTCCAGGATCTAAGCACCGAGAGAGATACCGAGCCGCCTGCAAATTTGCTATCGGAGGCATATCCTATCTGTCCCGATGACATATAAACCATCATCACAGCAGGGTGGACATCAGAGTCATCTGAGGCCCTCACCTTCATGGATAGGATTTCACGGATCTCGCACACCTTTTCAACCGCTCTCTCTGTTTGGTTCCTGCACCTCGCTGGCTGAGCTCAGGGAAGGGAGCTGTCACTGCTGTCCTGGGGTTGGAGTGTTGGGGTGAGTAATGGTGGGGAGGCTGACAGGGGTCCAGGGAGGGGGAAGTGAGTGTGGAAGAAAACAGCTGTCAAACACACACACACACTAGAGTGAAGCTTGAATCTCTTCACTTCATCTACTGTCATCTTCCCTTCCCCGTGCACCCCCGCTCTGGGACTCCTGACATTTAGACAATACAGTTACAGCATGGGGCTGTGCACAGTTTGTAATTTACTGCGGATCTCAGTGTGCATGTTGCGGATGGCCAATTGATAAGTGGCCATATGAACTACAGTCTCTTACAAGCAGACCTCCTAACAAAAGGCCCAACAAAAGCATGAAAAAAAGCCTCAGTAAAGCAGTTAATAACCAATAGAAGAGCTCTTATGTGAAAGGTAAACATCAGTGTGGTACGATCATGAGCAGCAACCGCACCTCCTTTTGATCTCGCTCATGATTCTCTCCATCAAAGCAAGCGCAGTCAATAAGCGGTCGCTTCCATTGCAACCTTACTTTCAAAAAAGAGATGTCAGCAACTTGTTAGGAGTCTGCCGAGACACGATTGCATCTGAAATCGTAGCCCTAGCCTTCCCACAACCCGTCACTCTCACTAAACTGCAACAAACAATCCATGTGGCTAGCAATAGCACCCTGCGCCTGCGGAAATGCATTTGTATGCTACTTACCAATAAGCACAAGGAGAGAAAACAATGTGAAATGGGTCAATGACGTAACCCTGTTTTTTTGTCCTATTTTTTAATTTAAAAATTCTATTCATTCATGTAATGATTTAGACACGATTGCATCTGAAATCGTAGCCCTAGCCTTCCCACAACCCGTCACTCTCACTAAACTGCAACAAACAATCCATGTGGCTAGCAATAGCACCCTGCGCCTGCGGAAATGCATTTGTATGCTACTTACCAATAAGCACAAGGAGAGAAAACAATGTGAAATGGGTCAATGACGTAACCCTGTTTTTTTGTCCTATTTTTTAATTAAAAAATTCTATTCATTCATGTAATGATTTATGAATAGACCTCTTTTATTATGAGTGTTTTTTTTATTTTACTTGGTTACATAACATGACTTTCTTAGAAAAATTGAACTGAAACTTTTCTTGAAAATACAATATTTATTCATTAAAAAATTCTATTCATTCATGTAATGATTTATGAATAGACCTCTTTTATTATGAGTGTTTTTTTTATTTTACTTGGTTACATAACATGACTTTCTTAGAAAAATTGAACTGAAACTTTTCTTGAAAATACAATATTTATTCATTAAAAAATTCTATTCATTCATGTAATGATTAATGAAT